CAAGCCTATTCACAATTCCTTTGGATAGGTCTGCTCTCCTATTAAAATTGCCTGAAATTTTCTCCACAACTTTCAGATTTTTTATTACTTTCAAATTTCTGAAATACACGTGATAAATTTTAAATCAATGTCTACTATAGGTACACTATACCCAGAGAAAATTAGCAACTGGCATAAAAAAAAAACTGTAAATATAAAACATTGTCAAAATTAATTCTTTTGAGTTTCAATATCATCTATATAAAAAAAAAATGCAGCAAGTCTACTCCGCAGGGAAGGCAATAGATTGTATAGTTATCTCCTGAACAGGGTAAAATAACTACCCCACAACTATACAATCTACTACCTCACTCTGATAGAGCAATCTTTTCTTTTGGAATGGAGAGCACAATCTTTTTCAAAATAAAATGCAACATAAAATTATCAGCATCAATCTAAATAAAGAATACAGTTATTGTGATATACAGAAATAAGCAAAAGTATCTCCATACAGTCTACTGGCTAAAGTTTGTAGTCTCTAAAAGAATAAGCAACTTGTACGCCATAAAGAAATGGTGCACTACAGCAATTTTACACAAGTTAATCTTAAATATATTGTACAATTAGCTTTCAACTTCCTATGATGCCGCAAGGATGCAGACTTTCCTATCACGTTAGGAAAGACAGTAGATTGTATAGTTATCTCCCAGTGGTGGGTGTGACCCTAAAACTATACAACCTACTACCTCATCCCACAGTGAAGAGAACATCCAGGGTGACTGATGAAAAGTGGAGCACCGCAGGAAGGCTTTCTACTCAGTAATCCTGGTTCTCCTGTGTGATTAAAGGAGAGCAGAAAAAAAGAAGTATTAGATCACTTTCTTTCACTTAATTTGAATATAAGTTTAACAAAAAAAAACGTTGCACAAATCAGCAATTTAAATTATAGCTATGTATGATCTATGTATTACTTTAAGTTCCTGAATTCAGTTAATATTTTTTCTTTTAAAGAAAAAAACTTCAATTTGTTGTCCCACTTATTTATGTATTCATTGGCTGTTTTTTGTATATGCCCTGACCGGGGATTGAACCTGCAACCTTGGCATATCTGGACAATGCGCTAAGCAACTCACCTACCCAGCCAGGGATTGGTTAATATCATTTTAAATGCTTGGTTATCTAAATCCACTCCTAATCCAATATATTTACAAGATCCAGAAATCACCTTTTTACATCACTTGATTATTATCAACTTGTGATCATATTGTAGTTGCTAGAAACAAAAATTTCATAAAATCATTTTATCCTACCTAAAACACACACACACACACACACACACACACACACACACACACACACAAAATAAAGGAATACAAGAACCTAACAAAATCTAATGACTTCAAATCCCAAAAGTCCTATACTTCACGTGTACGTCACAATTAAATGCATAATGAACAAAGGGAAATAAAAATATACACACAAAGAGAGCCTAATTCTTGTTCTTTTTTTTCAGGTTTGTTTTTTACTTGTTTTTTTGTTAATCCTCACCCGAGGATATTTTTCCATTGATTTTTTAGGGAGAGTGGAAGACATAGGGAAAGACAGAGAGAAACATTGATGGGAGAGAAACACATCAATAGGTTGCCTCCTGCATGAGCCCCGACCATGGCACAGGCCAGGGAGGAGCCTGCAACTAAGCTACGTGCCCTTGACCAAAATTGAACCCAGGACCCTTTGGTCCACAGGCTGATGCTCTATCCACTGAGCCAAACCGGCTAAGGCATTAACTTCTTTTTAAATGTTTTTATTGATTTCAGAGAGAGGAAGGGAAAGGGAGAGATAGAAACATCAATGATGAATCACTGATCTACTGCCTCTTGAACACCCCCTATTGGGGATTGAACCTGCAACTAGGGCATGTGCCCTGACCAGGAATCAAACCACGATCTCCTGGTTTATGGGTGGATGCTCAACCACTGAGCCACAATGGTTAAGCGAGATCCTAATTTTTAAACTAGCCTAACTCATGTTTTCCATGCCACCAAGGATGCTTTGAGGATCAAAGTTAGGGACCAAGATATTTAATACCTTGGTACAATAATCTCTGAACTAAAGCAATATGATCAGTTTGGTTTTGTAATAAAAATCGTAATACCCAAATTAATCTAAACCACATTAGTCTTCAATTTATAGACTTTATATTTAAGAACTGACTACTATAAAGATTACTTACTTTATAAGGTATGCACTAAATTTATTATCAAAGAGTTACTAAGTAGTAACTTAGTAACCAAAACCTGCAATCAAGAACACTCATGGCCCTGACTGGTTTGGCTCAGTGGATGGAGCGTCGGCCTGCGGACTGAAGGGTCCCAGATTTGATTCAGGTCAAGGGCATGTACCTTGGTTGTGGGCACATCCCCAGTAGGGGGTGTGCAGGAGGCAGCTGATCAATGTTTCTCTCTCATCGATGTTTCTAACTCTCTATCCCACTCCCTTCCTCTCCGTAAAAAAATCAGTAAAATATAAATATTTTTTAAAAAGAACACTCATGGCTTTCAGTTCAATGCAACAAAATTCAAAGTCCAGAAATAAACTCCATACTTTGGGTTAATTGATTTTCAACAAGGGTGCCAAGACAATTCAATGGGGAAAAGAAGTTTTTTCAACAAATAGTGCTGGACAACTGGATATCCACATGCAAAAGAATGAATTTGGAACACTACTTCACACCATATACAAGAGTAACTTATGACAAATAACCTATTTCACAAGAAGGGCAAAGGATCTGAATAGACATTTCTTTAAAAATATTGCTCACAAGCACAAATGGCCATTGAGTAAATATGACACTCAACATCATGTATTAGTCATCAGAGAAACAAAAACCAAACCACAATGGGATACCACTTCCAGACCCACTAGTATGGCTACAATTAAAAACATAGGCAGAAAGGCAAGTTAAGTATCGGCAAGTATGTGGTGAAAACAGATCCCTCATATCCTGCTGGCAGAAATGTAAAATGGTGCTGGTGTTTTAGAGTTCAAAAAAAAGTCAAATAGTTTTACCACATGACCAAGAAATTCCACTCATAGTCATACTCCCAAGAGAATTAAACATAAAATTTATTCAGGAATGTTCATAGCAACAATCCTCATTTGGAGTCAACAAAAACAAAGGTTCAAATCACTGTAATTTAGCCTTTCTAAGCCCCTCAGCTTTCCTAGCTGAAACATCAATAGATAAATAATCTGTAAGAATAAGGGGAAAGACTTAAAAGGCATCCAACATACAAAAGAGCCCACATCAAGTCTTTCATGTGTGCCATCTTATTTAATAGTCATCATCTCTATTTTACATACGTAGAAACTGGTGCCAAGAAGTTTAATAAGTTGCCCAAATTATAGGAGATATCATTGGATCTCCAAACTTATAATACTTGAGCCAATTTCTATTCTGTAAGACCAGATGACTCAAGGTAAGAGCATGTAGACAATTGTCCCTAAAAAAAAATCAAGCCTTTCTAATTCTAGCATATGGGTTGTATTCTAAACCAACACGGTTCTTTCAGCCGTGGTAAAACCAGCTAGTACCCCTATCCTAACTCTCAACCCTATCCTAACTCTCAACCCTGACCAATTTTCTTTTAAAATGTTTGAATCCTCAACAAATGTAGGTATCTAAAATTAAATTTTCAATCTTGGCAAGTGTGACATGCTTTACTTTATACTATTTTTCTTGACCCAGCAATATAAATAGGTACCATCCAGCAATATAAATAGGTACCATGTTAGTAGTAAGCAATCTAAAATGATCTTCCATTTGGGAGAAAAATATACAAAAGTTGGGTGTTGATGGGTGAGGAGCAAGAGGAAGATATTATATAGCATCACTATTCATTAGAGCAGTGGTTTCTACCTTTCCACAATCCACTGCAAGAAAAGTCTTTTCTATTTCTAAATAGTACATGTCTATATATATATACTAATACAATAAAACATTAATTCTGTTCAAAAATCATCAACTAATCCTTACTTTTACTATATATAATAAATTGATTTTGTGATCCACTGATGGTTCTCAAGCCTGCAGTTTTTAAGAAAACAATTGATTAGAGCAAATTTTTGAAACTAATATCTAACAGCTGAGAGGAGGCACTGTTAATTAAGCAAGCTTTAAGAACCACAGAACACAACCCTAATACTACGATTATGGATTATCAGGATCCATGGAAATACTCATTAAGAAATAAAATAAAGTAAAAACCCTAACATGAACACTGATCACACCCATATATTTCTTGGCTACTGGGAAAGAGAAAGGAGTTGGGTAATTAGCTAGTGCATTTTCTGTTCTTGAGATATTTTCTCTATAAAGTGTACTGCAAAATCAGAGAGCTGCTTGAAGCCTGGCTTATTTACCATGTCTTCAGACAGATCATCTCTGGGGCTTTGTTAATATATATATGTATGTATGTATATCTCAAATCTTAGAGGGCTGTTAAGAGGAAATAAAACACAAAAGCACCAAGTACAATGCCAATTACTAGTGGGTGGATGCTCAATATTCTGTAGCTGCAAACATTCTTAGACAACATGCTATTAAGCCAAACCTATCTGAATTTTGCCTTTCAGATAATTCTTTTTTAAAAAGTAACATACTTTTATAGCCATTTTCTTTCCTTATTCATACAGTACCTCAATCCGTAGCTTGCTCCTCCCCATTAAAAATTAGATTGTCCCTGGCTGGGTATCTCAGTTGATTGGAGCGTCTTACCAATACGCCAAGGTTGTGCCTGAATCCCTGCTCAGGGCACATACAAGAATCAACCAATGAATGAATGCATAAATAAGTGGGGTCTCTCTCTCTCTCTCTCTCTCTCTCTCTCTCTCTCTCTCTCTATATATATATATAATTTGATTAATTAAAAATCCTAATTCAACTTGGACAAAACATATAAGAAACAGATTTCAGTCCAACAGAGCAATACAGGAAAGAAGCAAAGGGTAATAGCGTTGGGGTCAAGCAGCTACATAGTGGCTGCTTTCTTGTGCAAGTTACTGAATTAGTTCTCTCATCTCCAAATGGGAAACTATAGCAGCCACACCTCATGGGGTTGCTTTGGGAATTGGGAACACATTCAAAGCACCTTAATAATCCAGAAGTATTCAACAAATGGTTAACTATTCTTCTTAATAAATTAAATCAGTTTGAGAAACTGTCTTTTAGACAATTTTACCTTCTCAGATATATTTGAGACCGTCAAAAATACTTATCTTTTTGCCCAGCTGGTGTGGGTCAGTGGTAACCAGGAGGTCATAGTTCAGATTCCTGGGTCAGGGCACATGCCTGTGTTGTGGGCTCGATCTCCAGTTAGTAATACTGCAATAATAATTGTATGGTGTCAGATGGGTACTAGGACTTATGGGGAGGGGTCATTTCTTTAATTATATAAATTTCTAATCACTATGCTGTACATCTGAAACTAACCTTCTATAATAATAAAAGCATAATATGCTAATTACACCAGACAGCCGAACGACCTTCCAGGCATCCTTCCGGATGACCTTCAGGTCGAAGCCAGGGCTATGAGGGCCGAGGCAGCTGCCGTGGCAAGGCCCTTGCACGAATTTTGTGCATTGGGCTTCTAGTATAAAATAATACTGAATGATAACTAATTGATAAAATTCTTTAAAAGGGGGAGAGAAATCAACAAAAAAGAAGTGCTTTGAAGAATGAAATCTACTTACAAATTATGAATAAACTTTTTGTCAGTACCTGTATCAAGTAAAGGTTCCATAACTAACTTACTCATAACATTCACATTTTTTCAAATTTTTATTTTAGAGAGGAAGGGGGGGAGAGAGAGAGAGAAACATCAATGTGAGAGAGAAACTTAGATCAATAGCCTCCTGTAAGCACCCCAACTGGGGATTGAACATGCAACTTGGGTATATGGCCTGACTGGGAGTGAAACCTGCAACCTTTTGATGTACTACACAGGACAATGCTCCAACTGAGCCACACCAGCCAGGGCAATATTCACATTTTAAAATCACCTATATTTTAGTAAATGAAGTGTACGATATATCATAATGTTTAACATACTTGAATAGTCAACACTTTAAAGTTAGGGTTAACGTACATCCAAAACGGGCCTCAGTATGCCCCCAAAACTGTTTATACAGTACAGGTTTCTACAAGAATCCATAGCTTTTATCACATTTGCAAAGAAGTCTTGACCAAAAGAAGGTTAATTGGCATGATCCTACTAAAAACACATTCTGAAGGCTACATACTGATAAAGTAAAATTTGCATTTATCAAAGGTAGTTTGTTTTTTTGTTTCTGTTTTTTTATGGAATGCTTCTCGAATTTGTGCCATACTTGCACAGGGGCCATGCTAATCTTCTCTGTATCCAATTTTAGGACATGTGCTGCCAAAGCAAGCACCAAAGGTGGCATTTTAAGCAAACTAGATTCTAAATTCTTAAAACATGCTAAATTCACATAGTCCAGAAGCAGGCATACTCTACTTTGCAAATACTGAATACCTATTAAAAGCTTAAGCTTCTGAGCTAAAATGTCCTTCCAGAAGTCTGAGCTACCTACCCTTTACATCAAGCATGTCAAACTCGCGACCCACAACGAATATTTTTGCAGCCCAGCCAATATAACAGAATGTAGAAACATTTAAATAAAAATTTTGTAACTTAATTTTTACAATATCCTGTTATACATAATTACTAATAACAAACTACATTAGCTAATAATGACTGATTACTATAATCGTATTGCATTCATTTCCTTATGCGCAGGCGCACCATTTCTCTCCACTAATACTAGCAGCGAATATTTTAGCAGCCGATTGCCACATAATTCGTCTTGGACTGACTTGTTTGGTGTGAGCAACAGGAAATATTTTGCTTTCGGAGAACAAGAAAAATAGGTTTATTTGCATTACGCTTATTAATTTGTGCAGTTATTCAGTGTCTGATAAGTTAATGTTCAAGAAAATATTTTTATTAAAATGTTCCATTATTTTATGTTAACGATTACTCATTTATTTCAACCCTCTGTATTCAGCATGTCTCTATCAAAATAAACCTATGTTTCTATGAAAATTTAAGCTTTTGTGTGTTTTTTTTGCAGCCCACATAAACTTAAACCTTATTTGGCCCTTAGCCTTTGAGTCTGACATGCTTGCTTTACATTAATTTACATACTCTTATAAACAAAGTAGCTCAGAAAGCTTTATTTTTAAAAGCCTTTATTCACATGCCATCTTATGGTTGTATAAATTTCATTTTTGCTAAACTTCCATATAAGTAACAAGAACTATTTCCTTCAGAATCATCATTCAGTTTGACTTGCTGATTATCAATACAAATCATAATTAGAATACTGGCTACTTACTCGAGATTTACTTCACTCTCAAATACTCAGGTTCAATATTAATGCAATTATCTAATGAAGCTGGCTGAATATTACAACATTACTATTCATCAAACTCTCCAATAGTATTTTGATTCACTGGACAGAGCATCTGCAGTATTTTTAGCAATGGATCGCTCCTGAAATTGACAAGATGTTTTTAGATGTAACTAAAGTTAACCTAATTCTAATGTAAGATCCCCGTTTTATATCCTACACAAACATTGCACCAAAATTTTAAACAGCCAAATACTAGGCCATCCTTGCCAAAAGGACCATTTCCTTTCATTTACTCTTAAGTCTCAGAGCAGGTACATAAGATGCTCTTGATTAGATGAAATTATCTAAATCCTGAATTTTTAAAATAAGGTGACTAATGTCGTGTACTCCAAGTATTCCTTTGTTAAATTTTCAAATGCAAATTGTTAATTTGGGGTCAATTTCCCTGCTAAAATAAGTGCATTGTTACCTCTGTATTCCTAAGTAAACTCTGCTACAAACCCTGTAACACAGGCAAATATTTATAAGGAAGACAATTCCACTTGGCTGACTTGTTCTGCTTAATGGTCCTTATTTATATGCCATTATTTCTTAAACCTTTAAAATCTTCTACCTTCCTATCTTTCATTGTACCAATATGTCCCCAGGTTGAAAAATCCCTGTATTATCTACACATACCCAAAAGCAAAAGAAAAAAATGTGGTTTCTAGTTATTACATCTAGATTCCACAGTTCACTATAATTAACTATATCCTTAGCAGATAATTAATAGTTTACACTGTACAAGAGTGAATTCACTAAGAAAAATGTTCTTTCCTATACATTAAGCAATCACATAATTGACCAAATAAAAGGGGGTAGGGAAAGCTCACAAGAGTAGCTTCCTAACACTGTCACAAAGCAAGAGAAGATGACCAATAGAACAAAATACTCCCAAATCAAATTCATAATATCTGCCATTTTAAAACAGATCCTCTAAATCTCAAAATATTCCTAGAAAAGCAAAGTAACCCTTAAAAGTATAGCTGTCTTCTGACTTAAAATACTACTTAAATTTAGACCTAGAAAAGAGCCTTAAAAAATTACCTGATGCAATTTCCTCATATTCGAAAAGAGGTTGTGGAGGGAACATTTTTGACTAATATGAAACTACACATACTCATCTGGAAAAAGTTAATTTTTGAAGAGAATTCCACGTCTGTTCAGTAGCCATTAGCCCTGCTAACTACTGAGCACTTGGAAATGCAACTAGCCCAAAGTGAGATGTGCTGAATTGCCAAATACACTCTAGATTTCAAAGACTTAGTATTAAAAAAAAAGTGGTGGTTCTCATTTATCTGGTTATTTAATGAAGTCCACTCTTAATCAGAACACCCACACAGGCAAAGCATGCAGTTGACTAGGCCTCCTTTACCCCAGTCAGGTCACATGAGGCAGTGCTGACAACGTTACTGGGGATCCGGATTCTTCAATTCTCATCTAGCCACGGAAAATAATCATTGGCATTCTGGAGTGGAGAACATCCTTTACTATCTAAATAAAAGCTTCTCAGACTATTAAAATATTAAGTGATTACAAAAGCATGCTATGCTGGTCATTGATGGCAAATTTTCCTCATTCCTGAGGGGAAAATACTCTACCAAATAGAAACAAACAGAACTGCTATTAATACTCCTTGAAGACCAGTTCTATGGAGAAAAATACCCTTTAGAAGAAGTTTTTCAGACTTTTTTTTGACACTGTCAGAAAAACATATGTTGCAAAAATACACCTCTACAGCTGAATCAACAAGTATTTTCTATTTTTTAAAAATTCTGATCATCACCCACTAATTTGATTTAATGACTCAATGAACTGGAATCTACAGTTTGAAACATTAATCTTTATTTCTTTCTATTAAGTCTGAACTAAATGATTTACAAACTTTCTCTTTATGACACTTGCAAAATTCCCGAGTCTCTCAAATTCAACAGAGCTTCAATTTTGTGAAGAGGAAAATACCCTTTAGCTGTGACTGCAAAGTAACTATCCAAAAAGGGTTCATTTCCCACATAAACTATCACTGTCTGTACCCTAGTGACACATTTTTTAAAATATATTTTATTGATTTTTTACAGAGAGGAAGGGAGAGGGATAGAGAGTTAGAAACATCGATCAGCTGCCTCCTGCACACTCCCCACTGGGGATGTGCCTGCAACCAAGGTGCATGCCCTTGACGGGAATCGAACCTGGGACCCTGAAGTCCCCAGGCCGACGCTCTATCCACTGAGCCAAACCAGCTAGGGCCCTAGTGACACATTTTAAAATGCTATTTAATCGTAACTGAATTTAAAAGGGGTCAAGACATTTGTCTACGATCAAAAAGCTCAAAACTTTAAAAACAGTACTTTTAGCAATTGTGTACAAATAAATCAAACACCCTCACAAAACCACTCAAAATAACTTACAAGTTTACAAGTATTTACTTCCTTAACTATACATACTCCCTGAATATACTGTAACTGAACCTGACCCCCATACAGCAAATAAAAAACACCTGGATATAAACAATCGTGTCCTAAAATACATAATTTTACTATTGTGAGATTTCCAGGTCAATATAAATAAATGCAGGGGACTGCTAATGAGGTTTTAACTTAGGAATTCAGTGCCAAGAAGACAGTACTTAGTACAATTTTAAAAAGTAAACTCATCCAGTCTCCTAATTACTTCAAGAATGTAACACTCACTGTGCCCAATGCCTCCTCCTCGTTTGCCAACCCTCTCGTCAATAAGAAGTTTGCTCAAACACGCCTCATCTCTGGCACAGAAGGCACGGGTCCAGGCCCTACTGTAAAAGTTGGAGAGACAGAGGGCCATTGCTGGCCAAGGACAGAAAGGTGACATAGTCCTCGCACCGGAGCCCGCCGGGCACGTGCACCAGCCAGCCTGCTTCCAGGGGTGCAGCCGCCACTCGGGGCTGGGGCCGCTGGCGGGGGCCCAGGTGGCCAGGCACAAACCCATCCCCCGTGATCCCATTGACTCCCGCCCGACCCACTGCCCCGCCAAGGACGGCGGCCCCGGCGGCCCAGCTGCTCCGGGACTGAGACTGCGCTCGGCCGAGTGGAACAGGGGCAGGGAGCCAGCGCAGGGACGGCCCGCCAGCACGCTCGCTCGCGTCCGGGCCCCCCCGCACTTCCTACATTCCCTCCCGCAGGCCAGCCCCCAAGGCCAAGGTCTCCCCGGCCCACAAACTTGATGGCGGAAGTGACGTTGAGGACCTGGCGACTCCAGTAGCCAGTCACGCTACGGCGGGGGGAGGCGCCGGCCAATGGGCGACGACCGGGGGCCGGACTTCCCCCCAAGCTGGCTTGCAGCGGGGGAAGGGAGGATTGAAGAATGTGAAGAATGACCCCTCCCCCCGCCCGAGAGGCGCTGGGCGGGAAGCGGAGGGGGCTGGGGCCAGCCGGCCGCGCCACGCGGCGCCCATCCCCCGCCGGCACCACCGCCACCCGCGGTCCCCCTCGAGGCCAGCCAGCCTGCCCGCCCCAGCCCCCAGGCCCCTTCCGGTCGGCCCCAAAGCTCCCTTTCTCCCACCGCCCCAGGGAGTCAAGCGAAGGAAAATGGCGACAGGCCCGCGCGCGCCGTCCGTTTACCCTGCTGACCTCGGGCTCGTAGAAAAGGCCACCGCCTGCAGTTTCCCTTCGCGGAGTCAGCCCGGCCTTCGTTCCCGCCGCCACCCGCCATCCCCCGGGAGCGGCGCGCGAAGACGCGAAAGGGAGCGCGGGCGGAGGGCCGTGGCGGCCTGAGGGAAAGCAGCGCGGGCGCCGGGAGGCCGAGGCGGGTGCGGACCCGAGCTCAGCGCGCGAGCCCATTGGCTGGACTGCCTGATTGACGTTCGCCTCGCCCTTTCGCCTGGGCGGAAACGAGCGCCCGGACCCCACTGGAGGGCGGTGGCTGGGCCCGCCCTGTGCTGGGCGGTCACCGCGGGAAGGGCGCGCGGGCCCGCCCACCCTGTCCGCTCAGGGTTTCCGATTGAACTGCCGGTGAGTGGTGGGCGGTGTTTCTCTCCCCTCCCCCTCCCCCCCCAGCGTGACCACGGCCGGTGCCGTCACGTGGCGGCCGAGAGCGCGCCGGGCGGCAGCGCTCGGGCTCCCCGCGAGGCCCGCCCCACAGGTTGCCCAGCTGGAAGCGAGCTGGCGTTTCAGCCGACCGCCTCAGGTTCTGGAGCCCCTTTTCAAGGCAGTCTTTAATTTTCCTATTTTAAGAATCAATCGAGTGGAAGAACAAATGGATGATTTTCTTCCCCTTTTTCTGGTATTAATAAATAAATACATAAATTTTCAATTCGCCTAAAGCACAGTTCCTGTGTGCCCATGAGGACTTTGCCCAACTAGGGCCCCAGAGAGCGGAGAGCGCTGGGTCGGTCTGTGCCTGGGGACCCCGCCCCCACTCGGGCTCCCTGTTTTCACTCACTCACTATAACTTTGTGCACAAGATTTGTAAGAGTGAAAACATTAGCCTCCTCATGGCTAACATGTTTTTGGCGGCACTTGGAGTGTACCCGTTGCGTTTAGTTTGTGATCTCACTTGTATTAGAACTTGCGGTAAATGCCAGAGGAGTTAGGTGCAGAGTTACTCTGTGGGCTGACGGGGACAAGACACTAAAAGAAAGAAAAGGAGGTTGGCCTGAAAGGTGGGGGAGATGCAGGGAGAGCTTTTAACTTTAAAGTTAAAAGACAGACAAATGGGAAACAACAACTTTGTAAAGTCTGTAACCGACAAAATATGAATGAAAATGTCTAGTAGTTAAGAGCAAAGATCTGAAACCAGACTGCTGAATTTGAACCCCAGTTCTGCCCTTTCCGCACGACATGGCAGTACACACTAGAGGCCCGGTGCACGAATTCGTGCAGAGTGGGGTCCCTTGGCCTGGCCTGTGGGATCGGGCCAAAACCCGGCTCCTTTTTATTTTATTTATTTAAAAAAAATTTTTTTAACATTTAGTCACCTTTATTTTTTGTTTGTTTGTTTTTGTTAATCCTCACCCGAGGATATTTTTCCATTGATTTTTTAGAGAGAATGGAAGAGAGGGAAAGAGAGAAACATTGATGTGAGAGAAATACATCAATTGGTTGCCTCCTGTAGGAGCGCTGACCAGGGCCCGGGCCGGGGAGGAGCCTGCAACCAAGGTACATGCCCTTGACCAGAATCGAACCCAGGACCCTTTGGTCCGCAGGCTGATGCTCTATCCACTGAGCCAAACCAGCTAGGGCATGAAACCAGCTCTTTGACATCCCCTGAGGGGTCCTGGATTGTGAGAGGGCGCAGGCCAGGCCAAGGGACTCCACCGGTGCACGATCAGGGCCAGGGAGGAACACAGGAGGTTGGCCAGCCGGGGAGGGACCGCGGGAGGGCTCCAGGACATGTCTGGCCCCATCTCAGTCCTGACTGGCTGGACCCCAGCAGCAAGCTACCCATCGGAGCATCTGCCCCCTGATGGTCAGTGCACATCAAGCGAGCGGTTGAGCAGCGTTAGCATATCATTAGCATATTACGCTTTGATTGGTTGAATGGACTTAGCATATTAGGTTTTGATTATATAGGATTTGGCAAATTGCTTATTCTTCCTGTGCCTCAGGTTCTCATATATAATATTGGGATTATACCAAACACCTTATAGAATTGTTGTAAGGCTTAAACATTGCAAGTACTTAGAACAGTGCTTGGTGCATATAAGCACTACATGAGTATTTGCTAATACTTAAATATATACAGTACATTTTTTCAAATGAGTAGGAAAAGAGTATAGACAAAGGATATAAACTGGCAATTCATAAAATAAACAAAAATGGCCAATAAATACGAAGAGATGTTGATCCTCATAAGCAAGTAAATGCAAATCAGAGCTATCTCCCAGTTTATGACAAATCATCAAATATGCCCTGAAAAACTATGATGGTAGTGTATACCTATAGTTGTCAAATGGGAAGATTGTCAGGGTTATATTGTTATTCGAGAAATAAAGTTACAAAGTAATGTGTATGACATGATCTCATAAATCTTAAACAATCGTTAGCTATAGAATTAGTCATGATGTTTGCCTTTACACATTTCTGGGTTCTTAGCAAGTATGTATTGCTTTCATAATTTAAAAAATTATAAATACAAAAGCTATGCCAGAGATAGTTGTTCCTGTCAACCAACTGTTGCCACCAATTCAATGCCAACAGGAAGAAGAAATTTGGGAGACAGTGAAGAAAACTTGATCTGGTGCAAACTGCTCAACAGTGATACAGTATGGCTGTGAATATAGCACTGCTATGGAACAGCACAAAAGTGCTACAGCAAAACTGCATGGTTGTGGAACTGCTCTAGCAAGTAGTTTTGGGTGGCTCAGCTCTACCAGGATAAACTCAGTTTTCCAGCTCTGGTGGAAAGTGTGGGTCCTCTGGCAGCAGGGGAACTGGCTTATATGGACAGAAGTCCTCACCCCTGATTCCTGATTGGTCTGTCCTCATGCAAATGAGGACATCAAATCCTCAGTTTCATTGGTCCAAAAGGCACTGTCTTGATTGGTCAGAGTAGAGTTGCTCTGATTGGTCAGAGCTGCACAGCTTCCCATTTGGATGGGGGAAAGCCTCAATACTATTGGTTGAAATGGGATTCCCAGGTAACCCTTTTATAAGGACTGGCTCAGATGGCAGAAACAAGTGCAAGCAGGCACTTTAGCACAGAACGCTCATCTGCAAGTATGG